ATCTACTTACTAGAAAGCATACAATCAATTACTTATTTAGTCAACAATGAGTAGTCCTTGTAAGATTGGGTGTATTATTTTTAAATATAGAAAAACATATGACTGAATAGTAACGGAGATCAGTCATTTTTTTTTATTTATTAGATTCAAGGTATTCGATTACCACATCAAAATAGTCAATTCCAACAGTTAACCTTTTAATGCTATTCTTACTTAAAGGAAACGTTCCAACTTCAAAAAGTAAAATAAGTAGTCGTCTGCCTTTTTAACGCAAAATAAATAATAAACATCTTCAATACCAAATACTTAATGACTAAATAAATTATTTAATAGGATATTGGAAAAACCTCGTATTCTTGCCATGTACAAGGAATTACATGATTTAGATGTATTATTCATTAAGTTTTTGTCAGCTTCAATATGAACAAAATAACATAAATGAGAATGGTGTGCTAGTAATATAACATTGAAATATTTATTTAATTTAATAATGCGGTTTTATACATTGATACGCAAATAATAATATCAAAACATCCAAACTATCAATTTTTTTTTATAAAACGTAATTAAAATGTTCAAAGGTAATTATCATTTGTTATATCAATACGTAATTAGTGAGTAGATATTACGGTGAACACTCAAATAATAAATTAAACCATTATATGTATAGCATGCATTTTGAATAAATTAGTTACATTGATAAGCTAATGGATTATTATGAGGCCACAGGTAATTTACTTGTACAAAGCACTACCACCAATTACAAAGGCTTTAGCTGTGACAGTAAAGCAGTTGTCATGGTAACTCCCCCCCTCCCCCGATCACCCCCTTTAGGCCCACAACAGAATGTCAGTGACTTTTCTTGCAAACATTTCCGCCACTTTTACGTCATACCAGTCCCTGAATACATAGTATTATTTGTCACATTCAATTGTATACATGTGTTTTTTAGGCTGGAAACATATGAGAATGGTTTTGAGACTTATCGCTATTTTATAATGTTTTTGACTATTTATGAAGCCAAAGAATATTTTTTTCTGTACTACGGGCGAAATAATACTATCTAATGAATGTTGTTTGTGGAAAAGAGTACAATTCAAAATAGTTTAAGTGTTGTAATAATTCTAAATCAAAACTCTTTATGTCGCTGGTCGCAAATTATAATTGTCTTCTGATTAGGCCTACGGTGTCAAAGGAATTACAGTCCTAAAAATTAATTTCATACATTATAAATGTAGGTAATATTCTATAATTTGTACATGGATAATTAATGTGTTGAACACTAATATGTTTTATATTGATAATTAAACAATATCCAAAGTTTATTTTGCTATTAGTTGCAATGTTATGTTCGTACAATGTTACAGTGTTATGCATTTAGTTATGTTATGGATTAGTTTAACAACGAGCATGTTCTAAATTGTTCAGGGGAACTAAACACTTCTGTGTATTAATTTAACGTATAAATGTAGTTTCACATGAATGATTGTTTTTATATTTAAAGTATACTTGTAGCCTGCAAGAACCGTAAAGTTATCGGGTTTTATTTTAGCGAATTTCCCTATAGGGGAAGTAGCTATTACCGTAGGTGGCACGGTAAGACCTAGACCCGGGACCGATTTACTTTTTCATTTTGATGTCCCCAGAGGCCAAAAACACCATTCGTTCAAAATTTTATATATGTGTATATATATATATATATATATATAGACTTATATATATATATATATATAGACTTATATATATATATATATATACGTCCGTGAACGCGATAACTTGAGTAATTTTTGTCCGATTTTGATGAAATTTGGATTGAAGGTGTAAAGCGGGATAAACTTGAATGAGTTCGCAAACCAGCACGATCGGACCATGGGAACGGGGCTTTACGGGGGGTTTTATGGGGTAAAAATTGTTTTTTCTCACTTTTGACCCTCAAAACACAAAATTTTCCGATTTCTCTTTAGACTTTTTTAAAGAGCTTAAAAAAACAAATAATTTAGTATATAAAAGTATTTTTGTTCGATTATTAGTAACAGAGAAAATTTAAAAAAATTGTAAATTTAAAATTCCCATGTTATTCTTATGGAGAATATTGTCAAATGTTCTAGTTTGCTTGTCTATGGCTATATTTTGATGAAACTTGGCAAATTTATTTATTTTTTACTAAGCTATCAATATTTTACTCAAAAACACACTTTATTAGTTTCCTTGTAGCAGCAAACCTAGGTGCTCGTTAAACCTAATGTTATTAAAATATATTTAACTGAAAACCAATTCAGACAAATGGAAATTCGCTTAGTCGGCAGGTTTGCTGCGGCGGGGGTATTTTATGTTTAATTTGGAAACATTAAACATAAACAAAATTTATAGAAACACATATTTTTTAATTGATACATTAATTTTTATACACCATAAGTAACAAACTTTTGTTAATAATACTTTATTAACTAATATATTTAAACAAGAACTAAACACAATATTATTGAAATTAAATTAAATGTTAACCACCCACCATATAATCTGGTGGTTTGTTTCTCGTATTAAATAATAGTATTTTTTCAGAGTAAATAAATTATTCTAGACTTATAAGTGATATTCATTGGACCTAACACATTTCAAATGATTCCCTAACCACAAAACACGTAAAGATTTAGTGCTGTAAATTTCCTACAAAATGCAAGATTGTCCGTGGTTGTACTTTATTGTATATTTATTGTATTTTACACTTAATATTTAATTATAGTTAAGATTTATACTCTACTTCTTTCATAATAGGTTTTAGGTAATACTTTTCCTATAACACAAACTACAGCAATGTATACAGTAAAAACCATATTTATATTTTTTCTACAGTACTATTTAAGGTAATAGTATTGAAAGTATCAAAAACTGAGTACTTCATAAATAACACGAATGAACTGGCTTTCAATGCGACATAAAACCTCTGATTCCATTTCATGGCAAAATAAAGATTTGAGAAAGCTTTACAGAGATGAATCGGATATTGCCCTTCCCCCCTCCCCCCCCCCACGATTCCCTCTTCTCTCTCGACAACCCTAATACATAGAGAGAGACTATCAGCTTCAAAGCTTTCCAGTTATACAGTTCTAGTAACAGAGGTACAAAAGAAATGCATAAGAATTTTCTTTGGTTTATTGTAAAAAACACAACCTATGCTTTTCAACCTAGCCTAAGTGAATAAGGTCTGGAGTTATTTGATTGATTTTTATTAATATTTTGTTGTGAGCAATAATTCAAACCGTTCACGAAAGGTAATAGACCCTGAATTTTTTTGTTTTGGTTAGGGTTCAGTTTAGGCTGAATATTCTTAGATGAACTATTCACGTGTAGCTTTAGTTTTAATTATACAGTACTGTGGCGAAAACGGCTGTTGTTAATGCGTTACGTGTTTAAAGTAGCAGTTTTTTACCTAGGTTTATAAAGAAAAATTTAGATTCAAATGAATCAGCTGTACATTTCCTTACTTATAAATTGGTTGGCTGTTTTAAGGATTGTCCCAATAGATAAAAGTATAATTATAATGTTATAATTTTTTTGTGTTCGGGAAAGTGTAACTTGTATACTTCACTACAACATTGAAAATTTCCCTTTATAGACAATAATACAAATTGGACGAATTTGTATTCGTCGTTGTTTTGGCAGAGTAATATGTCTTGCTTCAAAATCTGTAACAGCTGACGGTGTACAATAGGAAAACAAGATGTAAATTAATTGTTATGAGGTAACTTACAAATTTAGGCAATGTAAGAAATTACCATGTTGTGATTTAGGTAGCAAACAACGGATTTTTTATTTCTGCTTGTATGACGAAAAATGTTTATCACTAGGGCTAGAAGTGTCTTTACGGCCCTAGTTAATTTTCCGACATCGGCCGTTGAATCTGAGACCCTAGTGATGATGTATTACGCTATTTTCATTCTGAAAAATACTAGGCTCTAACTTTGATATTTTTCGTTCCTGTTTCCACTGTCTTTCAGGTAAATATGTTTATCTTTCCATTTAAATTATTATCCGAGTAAAGCGGATATGAAATTAGTATACATGAAAACACAAAAATATTGGTCTTTGTAATAAGTTCACTGTCCGTGAAAACTGATGAAAAATATCCTAAATAATATCTTACAAATAATAATTAAACTAACTATTGAAAAGTAATATAGCCGAAGAAGACAAGTAAACCGTTGTTTCGGTGATGACCTAGTTTAGATGTAGACTTCTAGGGCAACCCCCTTCCCCGAGCCATTGTAATTTCCAGCTCGATTTATAAACTACAGTATTGGAAATCCAAGATATTGCAAAACAACCTTATCATTGTATCTATAACTTCTTTGATTTATATTTCCTGAGGGTGTTCATGATTTCCTTTGTATAGCACTTAATCAATGATTAACATATTCTGTGCTGGTAATATTTAAACATATGCTGGGTGACATTCTACATACTGTAGCTAGAAAAATACATACATGTTTGAATAAAAAAATTGAATTGTTAAAAATTATTGTTGACTTTGACTTCTAGATGCAGGACTAGAAGTGTTAGAAGAATAAGGAATTTTTTAAGCTGAAATGTGTCTGATTCATTAAATGTGGTCCTGCGTATTTCTAGAGAGCTAGTTCCTAAAGATGAAACTTTGTTGTCTTTCATTTAAGATTGTTAATCTTTTCTCAAATCAAACTTTTTTAGAGATTGGTTGCGTATTTTGACCATAGATTTAACCGTCCAGATATAAATTAGAGGTAGTGCTTAAAACGTATTAAGTTAAGCAAAAAATGAGCCACTACAGTCCAAGAAACTATACTGTTAAATTTTAAATTGGGGCACCAGGGATTGAACTTACGACCTCTGCCTTTGTTTCACAGTAGGCCTACATCATGCTTTTGACTGATCTACTGACTGGTCAAGATATACATATCAACAAGTGTTTTCGTGTACTCACACAAAAGGAAAGTATTTATAAAATTAATAAACATCTATAAAGCCATGATTCAAAATACTTTATTGTGTCGGTCCTAACTTCTAAAACGAAACGTGAATATTTTATATTTTCCATTATTGTATACCCTTCTGATAAACTGGAAGACTTATTTCAAGAGAAGCCTTTAATCATGTGATTAACGTATGTTCCCTTCAGCTCTGAGAGTTTTTAAACAATAATTATATTTTAACACTCCAGAATATTTTAAAACTTCACCAGTCCCCTGATGGGGGAGGCCTAAGTTGGGTGATTGTAAACATGTCGTCGAGGAGGTTCCACTTGCTCGCCCAGTGTGTGAAGTGGAATGCAGCTGACATCTGTTTCCAAGGCAATTCTACAGCTGTTAAAATAAAACCATTGGTATTGAAACAAGCAAAATAAATGTTCCCAATCTTAATAACATAATAAACAAAATTATTCTCTAAACAAGACAGAATTTAAATCTTCTTTTCCTTAATTAAAAGTGAATGCTTTAAAAACTCAATACAATTTTAAAAGAGAAGAGCAATGTTTTTAAAATTACCTTAATATTCACATAATGAGACCAAACGAAAATAACACCATCTAATATATAAAATTCTCGTGTCACAGTGTTTGTCTGCAAACTCCTCCGGAACGACTTCATCGATCGTTATGAAATTTGGTGTGTAAATTCTGTAGGTATGCGAATCGGACGTAAACTATTTCCCGTTTCGAAATTCTTAAAAGGGCTCCGCCCCAGTGGCTCTGGAGTTTCCCATGTTAACCTTATGAGTAATGGAATTAATGAATCTTAACAGCTGTTTCAATTAAACAAGTTGGATCTGTTCTATGATGTTCAATAGCATTAAAGTTACAAGGATTACCAACAGGGTGCAGCACTATTATTTCTTTTACATTTATGACAACAGCTAATTTGCAACCAAAAGGTGAGTGAGCGCAGCGAACGAGCTCCAACCTAAAGGTGAGTGAGCGTAGCGAACGAGCTCCAACCCAAAGGTGGGTGAGCGTAGCGAACGAACTTCAACCAGGACGTGATTGAGCGATGCGAAGTAGCGAACGAGCTAACCTGAAGGCAAGTGAGCGCAGCGAACGAGCTCCAACCTAAAGGTGAGTGAGCGTAGTGAACGAGCCCCAACCCAAAGGTGAGTGAGCGTAGCGAACGAACTTCAACCAGGACGTGATTGAGCGATGCGAAGTAGCGAACGAGCTAACCTGAAGGCAAGTGAGCGCAGCGAACGAGCTCCAACCTAAAGGTGAGTGAGCGTAGCGAACGAGCTGCAACCCAAAGGTGAGTGAGCGTAGCGAACGAACTTCAACCAGGACGTGATTGAGCGATGCGAACGAGATCATCTTGGAAATTAAACGTAACGGTACTTTCTTTCCATCGGTCTGTCTTAGGGGAAACCTATAACTTAGGCGATACGAAGTTCGCCGGGTCAGCTAGTTACTTTATAGATTTTGTGTATCCTATAAGTGTTTTGTACGTTCCAAACCCAGTTTGTTGCCAAATCTCTGTTTCAAAGGGAATGATAATAATGTATTATTAATTTTATGCAAACTTAAAATAAACATACAAGCTTAAGTCATTCACACCTTTAATAGTTTGTTAAACATTCCTATTCTCCCGTGTAGACCGAGTTAAATAACTTAAACATGATTAAAAACAAAATTTACCATATTTCTTTATCATGCTGGTTATTATTATATCTATAGCTTAAAATGATTATACTGACTGCAGGTTCTGTCGTATGTGCCTATGTAGGCAATGTCCACGCTGACTCCCTTCAGACGTTTCAGGTCCCATCCATATTCTTCATCAGGACGGTCAGCCTCCACTTCCCAACCTCGTCCTTCGTATATCATGCCATCCAAGCCTATCAGGAAACTTAAGAAAGATTTAAGAGAGTTATATAACAATATAAAATAATGTATGCTATTCAAGTAAAAATAGTTGTGGAAATCCTTTCCCCGCCATTCACCGACAAGGACAGATCTTTAACAGTCACTAAAATATGTTTACATTACATAAGTTTAATCTTTTATTCCTTTCCTGTTCATTTGACATTTTAAAATACCTGCAATTCTGATACTCAGAGCCTGGGTGGATTTCAGATAGGCCCAACTAATATATTTATATTTCAAGGGAGTTTTTGGTAAATAGTGTTCCGATACTTGTTCCAAGGTAAATTATTATAATTACAATATGTTGCTTCTGCAATGTCTTCAGGCTGCGGTGTTTTTCTTTTTTTGTAAGTTTTGGCTAACACCAAAAAGTTGTAGCATTGTACTTGAAGAGGAAAAAGATTACCTAATTTTCTCTGACAACTCTATAGTGCATTGCAACTCCCTCTTAGTACAACTCTCAATTATTCAACTTGTTAACTTTCAACTTAAAGTAAAGGTGGTAAACCGATATTATTCAAACTATTCCACTGATTTTTCACAACTGTGTTTTATGAAAACAGGATAAGAGATACGTGTAAAGATTAATTCAAGGTTATTTAAACTATACTTAGCCTACTTCAATTTCCTTAGGACCTTCTTTATCTAATTTTTGATAATGTTAAGTTGTGTTTGTCTACACTTCATTCTCTAGTATTAATCAGTAGTATTAATTCAGATTTCCATAGTATTAATTCCATAGTATAATTCAGTCAAAACATAACCTCATTAGGGATACTTACTAATGTACCTGATAAGAAAATTTGAGTTATTCTAATACTAAATATACATTATCGTTTTTTATATAATTATGCACTCGGTAAAGTTGGACTTAGTCCGCACAACATGTTTTCTTTTTGATTAAAAGCCTTTCGACCTAATTCGTAAAACGTTCTTGCACTTGAAAGCCCATAATTTTACTCTCATATTCTTATGATGTATTTTTAAGCAACGCAATGTTGAATTATATTATATCAAATTTAAATTAAGCTTGTCTTCAGAACTATGACTTATTAACCTTACCTCATTAGTGACCTACCTTTACATAATAAATGTCTGGAAGGTATTCTAGTTTTTTAACCACTTCTAAGTGTTGTTATCTCTAATGCAACTTTTCAGCTATACAAAGCTAACCTCACTAGTCTTTGGCGTCAATACCAGACTTAATTTCTACCTACTTGTATTTAATGTCTGGAAAGCCCTCGTCCATGTGTTGTTTCTGGAGGTCCCAAAGTAGTTTGTGGCACGCCTCAGGGCCTTCACACTGCTCGGTATCAGTGTCTGTGAACCGGAGATGAACCAAGGGTAGTTTGTGCTTCTCCACACTCAGTGGTGGTCTCGCCCCCCACTGTTCCCTAGTGGTGAACGGGATGGGGCACTCCTTCTGTAGATAGAGCTCCTCCCTAGGTATTGTCGACTCCAAGTCGATTCCTGGCTTCTGGGCCATCGGTTGATGGTAGTAATTGTCTGAAAAGTTTGTGTTACAAAATGATTAAGGTAATATGTTTGAAAGGTTTAGTGTGTTGCGAAATCGTTATGTTATTAGCCTGAAAATTGTGGTGTCTTTTAAAAGTCGAACGGCAGTGACGGGTTAAAAAGTATAGGAATTTTCAAAGCCTTTATTGCAACAGTCTAAAATATGTTTTATAAAATATGATAGAAATTGTATGAAAAGTATGTTTCTACAAATTCTTCATGGTAGTTACAGTAAAAAAATTATGGTGTTCTACAAAATCGGGTAGTTATAAAACTAGAATCGTGGAACCATCAAGTCAAACTACTTCCACTATTGGCTATTAGACACTAGAAAAAAACTTCTATTATGACTACATATAGCCCATTTTTTTAATTCTAATTGTAAAAAATTATTCAGACGCCTAAAAGTAGGGCTGCATCATGAATATGGTTACTCTTAGGTCCTAAGACTATAATTGAAAATATAATATTAAAGAAGATATCGTTTACATTAAGCTGTCTTTTCAGTTGTTTTTAGTCAATAGTTTGGCTTAACTTATACTACAGCAACGCATAATTATATGTTTTTAATATCGTCAGTGATTAAATTAAAGTTTTCTCATTTTTACCATAAAAACGGCAACACAATTAACATTAAAAATGTCTATTACTATCCAAAGTCAACGGCTATATAAAAAAATTCTCACTGATAGTGTTTCGTATGCTAGTCCTCATAACTATGTTTAACCAACGTCAATTTACTCAGCTAGATTCAAGTTAAAATAATTGTATCTTTATTGAATCGTAATTGAAACCTTTCAAAAAAGCTCATTAAACTTGCGAGAAACAAATTAAGATAAACACTTTAAACACACTCACTAAACATTAAATAACCTATAGTGTAAAATTAAATCTACTCTGTTTAGGAAGTTGTTAAATTGTTTATTACCTGCTTGTAAATAAACTTGGGGCTCCTCATATGGCATGCCCGGGGGAGGTCCCATGTATCCATCCTTGGGAACAGTGGCTAGCCCTCTTCGCTGTCTAAAGGCGTGGTTCATTTTAAAAATCGTTTATTCCCCAAACTAACAACAACTGATTACATTTGTGAACTAGCACCACTAAACAAGGTCATTTTCATCTCAGAACCATCTATGTTCTTATCTGCTTGTAGATAATGATAATTATTCTAGGTTAATTTATATGGTCTCATTCCTAACATACCGTTATTCGTAAACATTAAACTGTGTTTCATATTTGTATTATAAATATATTTATTTAGTGTGGTCATTCTCCAAATTTTTATCTTTTATATTTGTGATTGTATAAAGTTTCTATTTACAAGGTAATTAATTGTTTTGGAAGATATTAGACACCTATGTAATGCAATTTTAGAATTAGTAATGTTTATTTATCGTTACAATAAGATTTAAGTGTTGTAAGCGATTGATATATGAAACTTTTGACATAGTTTACTTGGATTATGGTTCAAAAAATTTGTATAATGTTAACAATAAAAAAATACTAATAATCAAATAATTAATTAAATTTCAACAAATCATTTCCATCATAGAAGAAACATTTCCTCTGGTTATCCCTTTAAAATATAATTCACTTTTACAAAAACAAAGTCAAAGATATACCGAAAAATTATAATATCTAGATGGGTAATAATGTTTGAATATACGTTTTGCTTTATTGAAGTCACACTTAGTTAAATAAAGGTAATTCAATTGTTGGCAAAACCGTTGTGACTGAAATTATTTGCTGAACTAATCCCGTAACTGTGATTTATGTGGTTTGGAACAGTTTGGCCCAACTGTTACACCACATTGGACTAAGTCCTACTGTGTTATGTTGCCAAAGTTACTTCAAACGTTTTGTGGGTAAATACAGTCAACACATTTGCAATATTAGTAGTAACACCATTGGTGCAAATAAAATATTGTAAAGGATTAATGGCGATGAAATATACAGAAAACGGAAACTTGAAGGAGATATCAATAAGGAAATTTACATTGGAACTAATAAAAATATAAATAAACATACAACGTTTACTATAAAACTTCTTATAACATTTCCTATTATGATATTCAAGCGTTGGCTTGAATAATACAAATATAAGGGGTTCCTCTTATATTTGTTGAAAAAGTTGCAGTTAATTAATACTTGCCAATAATTTTTTTTTAATAGATCGATATGAGGTGTGTGTGGCCTTAGTGACAACAACAAAAATAACCATAACATATATCTTATGCTGATACTACAAAGAACCTAAAGCTTTAGAAAAGTAAGGATTCCTAGAAAATATAACAATAGTCTTCTTTATCACTGCAGTTGTTTACATACAACAGTTAAATCTCGTTGTATCTCAATACAAGTGGAAGTTGTCTTTGTTCCACTGTGTTCCCATGGTTACGTACGATAGTCTTTGTTGTTTATCACTGCAGTTGTCTACATATTACAACAGTTTAATCTCGTTGTATCTCAATACAAGTGGAAGTTGTCTTGGTTCCACTGTGTTTCCATGGACACAGCACGACAGGCTTCCTTGTTTATCACTGCAGTTGTCTACATATTACAATATTTTAACCTCGTGTATCTCAATACAAGCGGAGTTGTCTTTGTTCCACTGTGTTCCCATTGTTACGTACGATAGTCTTTGGTGTTTATCACTGCAGTTGTTTACATATTACAACATTTTAACCTTGTGTAACTAAATACAAACGGGAGTTGTCTTGGTTCCACTGTGTTTCCATGGAGACAGCACGACAGGCTTCCTTGTTTATCACTGCAGTTGTCTACATATTACAACAGTTTAAACTACACTTTTATCTTGTGTCTATATGAACACGTAAAATCTGTCATGGTTTCCACTATGTGTCCATGGTTTAACTAGATGAGTCGGCAATCCTTAGTATTTTTTGAAAGCTTTCTACATGTATATTACATTACTGTTGTTAATACACTGTTAAGTTGCCAATTTTATCAGTCGAAGGTTTGAGTTTTTGCCTTTTTTTCGTCAGGGTTAATATTTACGAATCATCGTACATTAAATTTATGTTGTGACGAAGCTGAATTTTATGCGCGTATTAACTGCTGTCATCTTAGATAGCTTGCGTATCTAGTACATATCTGTATTCTTTAAAGTCTTAGTAGTTTAGTAAAAGTTTCAAAACACCATCGGCTTATTAGTAGTTGAATTTGTATCCTTGGTACGTTTAGTATATAGGTTTTGTGAAAATTAAGCTACAAGAGGGAAAATTGCATATTTTCGTACTTTTTTGTCCTAATGAGCTAATTTAGTTTAATACTATTTTAAATATATGCTGATAGAGAAAACTGATGATTGACTGGCACCTATCCAATATAATACTAAACTTTTAATATACAGTAATTGAAAACTTCATTGAATCGCCTAAATAAACATGAAAACAAACCTAAGCACAGCTTTTGGCAAGCGACCAAATTGTATTCATGAACATACTCTGCTTCAAACAAGACTACTTCTTGATAGAACTTTTAAAGTTTTATGTTAGTTGCTAACAAGCTTTGACATTGACCTTAAAAGCTTAATGGTTATTGTTTGTTAACAAAAAACGTTTCAAAAGTGAATATCATCACTAAGTATTAAAGTAAAACCAAATGATAAAACATTTAGTATTTTTTTGTACTGAATTTGCATTTTTATATACTAGCAACATTATTAATAATTTATATTTTGCAATCATTATTAAAGTATTAAAGTAAAATATGTTTAGTGGTAAAACTATGTGCTTAATAATAATATATTTAAATAATACATTATTAATGTATATTTATATTTAATGTATACTTTTTACTCTAATTTATTTATGAGTAATTTATAGAACGGAATAACACTGATCCATATGTATACAACAAACTATTTATATTAACGTTTTATATGTAATATTTGTAAAATTTTACTAAGGAATTAAATGAATAAACTGTTTTACGTCATATCTCAAACTCAACTAACTTTATTTTCATTTTTAAGCAAACAACAACTATGATTATAAATTAACAGAAATTAACATGTGTTATGACATAAGCTGTTCTTACAACATCCTCCCTTTTAAGATAGTTAGTTCTTCAACCACTTTTGTTTGTGTATATTTCTCTTTGGACGTTTTTATGGTTCTGTTCCCCATTTTCCTGGGGGCCATTTTGGGATGGATCGATTTCCCCTCAGATTTATTTTGTCGGTGTCAACAATATATGAACGGAGGATTTCCAGGATTTTTACAATTTTCCATTTCTTCAAAGGTTCACAGTCCAAACTGGGTCTCCCAACTGAAGAGGATGGAGAGTTTGCACTTTTTCTTATATCGTAAAAAGTGCAAACTCTCCATCCTCTTCAGTTGGGAGACCCAGTTTGGACTGTGAACCTTTGAAGAAATGGAAAATTGTAAAAATCCTGGAAATCCTCCGTTCATATATTGTTGACACCGACAAAATAAATCTGAGGGGAAATCGATCCATCCCAAAATGGCCCCCAGGAAAATGGGGAACAGAACCATAAAAACGTCCAAAGAGAAATATACACAAACAAAAGTTAATTGTGTTTTTCTCTCTCTTTAAGATCCTTTAGATCTTGTTTTCCTCAAAGGTAAATGTCCGGTCTGAGGCAATGTGCTCCGTAATCGTCTGCTCATGTGAAGCTGAGAGGTGTCGTTCGATAGGCTAGAAGTGCTAAATAAGAATCTTCCAATTTTTTCTTTAGAATCATTTCGGAAATTTTTAGTACCACCTCAGCCTCAGTTTCTTTAGGGAGATGTTAAGCTACTTGTTATATGCTTAAAGCCATACACTTTAGAAAATGTCTTAAAATCTGAATGTTCAAGGACTTGAAATTAAAACCTGCATTGAAACTTAATCTATGCCATAACTCAAACTCAACTAACTTGATTTACCATTTTAAACAATCAACAAAAATGAACATAAATTACCATGTGTTATGATATAAACTGTTCTTTCAACAATATTTTAAGTTTACAAATAGTCAACGTAAATTGATAAATAGGACATCATCAATGATGGTGTATGATAATCTTTTGAATATTGTAACCAAAATAATTATGGTAGCTTACCATGCCTTTATTAACTGATATTTTATCTATTTTATCGTTTAATTTGCAAACACTTATCGTCTTATAAAAGAATTAGAACAGAGTGTTATGTATTAGCACAAGTAACTACTTCCTCCACCATTGACCTTGGTTGTACACCAAAGCCATCCACCAATGATTACAAAAAAATTGGTTTAAACTCAAGTTTAGTTGGACAAATCTAAGCTTTCAAAAATACATAACTGAAATAAACTAATACTTTTTACACTTGCACTGATGTAATATACTGAAGTTTTCACTGTTTGTATCATTATCATTATTTACCTTTAAACTTAAAATTTGTACCAGACTGCTCGTTATAAACACAAACATAGTTAAATTTTTTACAATCGTAATCAGTATATCCACTAGGAAAATCTACAACAAAAACTGTGTAGTACTGGGTAAACTGTGTATACAGTATAATCCACAGCTGTTGTTAAATCTGAGTGTTTCGCCTTCGCTGAAACTTATAATGGCTTTAACTAAGAGACAAGTTGGCCTATTAGTCAAGTTTAGTGTACAGAGAATCACTCTTAACGAGGTTATTGACCCTAAAACACTTTAATATGGGCAGCCGAGGGTTCATAATTTGTTATTCTAATTTGGAAGCTGTAAGTTCGAACCCTAGTGGGTTTTATTTTGGATATTAGTCAATGGTTTGAATGTTGAAATCCAAGACGTTTATGTAATTGAACGTTGGCTTGGTCACTTGAATATTCCAAAGGGGAGTCGCTACTGAAATCGCTAAAATTGTTATTTTAACTAATTTTTACTTTGTATCAGGCTTTTATACTTAAGAAAGACCTAAAACAAAAAACTAAAAAAAATTAATAAAGAATTTTTTTTGTGTGCCCTAAAAGTGGGTTTTATTGTTTTTTCGGAACATTTTTAAAATTGATATTTAAAGAAAACCATAAACCTTACACAAATGGAAATTGTATACTTTTTTTCAGCATTAAATTTACTTTAATATCACGTATTTTTATTGTATTACAGAA